CCCTGCAGGCCCCGCGCGCTGCAGGCTCCGGGAACACGGTCCCTGAAACAGTGCTTTCCTGCTCCAGGTGGGCTTCTGCACCGGGCCGATTTAGAAGGCGCAGCACGTGCCCCCGTAACTACGTGTTGGATAAATACATGGCCACGTTCAAAGCATGACTGCTTCAGGTTTGGACAGTCACGATCAAGTGCAGGGCGACTCCCCCCAAGCCCGGAATTTACTTATAAAAAGTTGTGTATTTACTCTTACATGTTTAAACTTCAGTCACCCTCAAAGTACTCTCCAGTTGATGCAATACACCTATCCAGACGTTTTTTCCCCTGCTCAGAACAGTCTCTGAACTCAATTCAAAGACTCAATTTGATGCCTTTTAGTGCTTCTGCCATTTTTTGTTTCACGTCTTCTGCATCAGCAAAACGTTTACCTTTGAGGACTTTTTCCACCCAGAGAAGCAAACAAAAAGTTGCTCGGGGCAAGACTGGGTGAACAGGTAGGGTGGGGCATGGGGGTCATGCCGCGGTTTTGTTGTTTTCTGGCCAGAAGCTGCTGAACACTCGGCTCAGTGCGGGCAGGTGTGCCAGTAAATCACCCAGCAGGAAACGGGCAAACACAGTGAAAGTCTTCCAAACAACCTCACTGAAGCCAAATGCAGCCTCTCACGACAACGCCGGCTGGGGCACTGACACAGACGGCTTCCTAGACCCCTCACCTAGCGGGGGAAGCCTCTACAACAAGGGGCCCACCTCCAGAAGATAATTCCATTTATATTTTCTCTGCTTTCCCTCGTATTGATTCATAACAGGCTTTTGCCCTACACTATAACTCTTTTTCACTAGCAACTGCTAGCCACATGTGGGCATTATAAATAAGCCTCTACCCTTGAGGAGATCATAATTTTATTTTCCAAAGTACTCAGGTTCAACACCTTGAGGGACACCTCTATACCCATTTATGTTTGTCTTCCCAGACCCAAGCCCAACGGCCAGACCATGTCAGTTTTCCTTCAGAGCCTCTCCTGAATCTTTTTCAACTTTATTTCTAATGGGCTTTTATTGCTGACCGTGGGCTGTAATAAACCTCTGGGCCATCTGCCTCAAGTCTCCCCTCAGTCTAAACCCCCTGGTACAGCTCTATCATTTTATTCTTAAATTATGATTTAGAGCATATCTAGACCCTGCTTGGAACCCCAAAGTGCCCACTGCCTAGTCCTTTATTTCAGAATCTAAAATCTCTGTACTTTGCTTCCAACCTACTTTTTCAATACCTGCTTTCATCCATATACTCACTCATCTGACAAACACCACAACATGCTTAGCAAGGACACAGAGGAGCTGGAGGCACCAGTGAGGGGACGACGACAGTCCCCGAGGAGTTAACCCCCCGTGAGGAGCTTACAGTTTTTACCGGGGGAAATGGGACAAGTGCGAAGGTAACTCCAGTTAGGGAGACAGTACGTGCAGGGAGAGAGAGGCAGCACGTGGTGACGAGGGGTCAGAAGCCAATTCTGGGCCCGGCCGGGCAGCTCGCTGGGTGTCAGTGTCGTCCCCGTGCGCCAAGCTTGCGGTCGGGGCACACACGGGGGGCAACCGAGGAGTGCACCAGTGAGTGACACCACACACCGACGTGTCTGTCTGTCCATCTGCCTGTCTGCCTGTCTCTCAAACCACTAAAATAAAAAATAAAATAAATAAAATAGTAAAATAAAATAAAATAATAAAAAATAAAATAGTAAAATAAAATAAATAAAATAAAGTAAAGTAAAGTAAAATAAAATAAAAGCTAATTCTGGCCGGAGGGTCGGCTGTCCCAGAGAGGTGGCAGGGGACCAGGTCTCGAAGGGGAAGCACAGCTTCAGGGTGAGGGGGGGAGGGGCGGAAACACCATGCACAAAGGGATGGCGGGTGGTGAGAACGTCTGAGAACAAGTTTAGTTCCTACACAGCGAACGCAAAGCAGATGAGGAAGGGGCAGACCTGAAAAGGGAGGGTCAGGGCTAAACCAGAGGCGATCAGGAGTGCCCGGCTGAGGGTCTGGACGCTGATATTTAAGAGTTCCGCAGGCACCGGGGACGGTTGGAGAGCAAGGCAGGCGGGCCCAGCCCTCCCAGCGCTCCCAGTCTGACACACAGGCAGTGAGCACCCACGGAGGGAGGTGGTGCACGAGGGCCGTCTCCTGTCAACCTGAAAGACGAGCTGTATGGGGAGGAAAGGGAAAGGAGGCCACTGACCACATGGAGTGCAGGGAGGAACGAGGCCCAGGACAGCGGCAGTGGTGACGGTGGACATGAAGGCGGGGAGTTACTTAAGGACGACGGACATCAGGCCCAACACTTGTGTGGACCCAGTCAGAGGAGAGCAGGGAAGACCAACATGCAAGCGTGAACCATAAAGGGAGTAAACCATAAAGCTGGAAACCAGCAGAACACTGGTCGTCTCTGGGGATGGAGATGGAAGGGGCTGGATCTGGACACAGGCTGGGCCTCACAGGCGGGTGCCCTTACCAGAACTCAGCGTGGTGCACTTAGCATTAGTGCACTGGTTGAATCATAGGTAAGTTTTACCTAAAAACATAAAAAAGCTCTGAAAACAGATATTGAGCGTAAGTTAATGATATGCAAGCTGAGGTACTTGGGAGTGAAGAGCACATCTAAAAGTTACTCTGAAATACATTAAAAAAATGCATTGGTGGACGTACGGTAGGGCAAGCAGCAAAATACCGGGTTGGCCAAAAAGTCCACCACGTTTTTTCCATACGATGGCTCTGGTAGCACTTAAGTTGGCTTTAACTTCACTGGAAATAATTTCATTACATTGTATTTTGACAGCTGTCTTATCAGCTTGCATTAAAAAAAAAAAACTTAATCAAAAGCAGCCAACTTTTGTGCCTCCATTTTAATATTGAAGATGGAAGAAAATAGGCAACATTTCTGGCATATTATGCTTTATTATTTCAAGGAAGGTAAAAATGCAACTGAAATGCAAGAAAAGATTTGTGCAGTGTGTGGAGAAGGTGCTGTGATTGATCCAATGTATCAAAAGTGGTTTGCGAAGTTTCTTGGTACTGTTGACATTTTTGGTCAAATAACTCTTTGCTGTGGGGCTGTCTTATGCATTGGAAGATGTTTAGCAGCACCTCTGGCCAGTAGCGGAAGATAGCCAACATACTCAAAATATCTAAATTAATAAAGTTATTGGTGAAAATGAAAAGTGTGTCTTTTATTTTATGGAAAAAATGTAATAGACTTTTTGGTCAACCCAATATTAATTGTAGAATTTCAGTGGAGGGCAGGGTGTTCACCATACCATTGCTTCAAATTTCTTTTTTTAAAATTTCATAGTGAAGTGTTGAGAAAAACGACAAGCAAGCAGTTTTAAGTTTGGGGTGACTGGTAGGAAATGGGGAATACAGAAGGAGATACGGGAGGAGTTGCAGGTTTGGGAGCGTGAGGTACCCAGGGCATCCTGGGAGAAAGATTTATCGGACAGCTGGAAACCCAGGACTGGAGCTCAGCTGTCTTACAACGCTACTTCCTACACATCTCTCTGCCTCCATGCGTTCCCTCCCTGTTTCCTCTTCAGGCTTTCTCTGACTGCCCTGCCCTCCCCCATTCAGCTCTGTGAGATTAGCTTATGACATCATCACATGCTACTAGAATGCAAACTCTCAGGTTAAACAGAATCTCACACAGCATACTATTTCATGAAGCAATTTTCAAATAAACAAATGAATAAAACCTGACCTAGTATTTGACTATACAGTTCCACCTATTTATTTCTCATTTTTTCATTGCTTTTAGAGAGAGATTAAGGAAGAGAGAGAAACATCAATTGGCTGCCTCCTGAACGCACCTGGGCTGAGGAATCTGTAACCTAGGTATGTGCCCTGGCTGGGAATCGAACCCACAGCCTTTTGGTTACAAGACGATGCTCCAACCAACTGAGCCACACAGGCCAGGGCTGACTCTACAGCTCTTTATGCTCACACTGATTCTTGGCTTCAAAGGTATAGTTTTGTTTTTCTTTCTGAGACATAAATACTTTTTAAAAAGGTATTCTTTGTAGTGGGGAGAAAAAGTTAAACCTCAATTATAGACTGAAATGAATTGCCATTCCCAAATTCTTAGTATATTGGACTTTGTCTTTTTTTAGCAATTTTCCTTTTAGATTTTATCAGTCATTCTGCAGAACTAGAAACAAAAAAAGAAAACGGCTATCCTTAGGTGGAAAAACTGTAATTGATTTTTCCTTACTGTTATTCTGAATCTCTACAAAAATGTTGTATTACTTTAGGGGAAAAACTGTTTTTAAAACAAAACCTTAATGACATAGTTATCAGACTCTGAAGTACAAGTGCTAGAAAATTTCTCGAGTTGTGAAGAAAAAAAAAATCAAAGCAGGGTGACTGATTTCTCATCCCTACCTCCTCAAGGGAGCCCCCGAAGGTCCAGAACTACCCCTGCTCACCTCCGCCCCTCTTAGCGCCCACGGCGGCATGGGGCTGGCCAACAGGGCGCCCTCCAATGGAGGAAGAACACCCACCGGCCACCAAAAACACCAGGAAGTGGCCACCAGCAGTTAGTGGGAGGCCATTAGCTTGGTCATGGTTCTAGTTTTAAAAGCACATTTTTCAAAATGAACTCATAAAACACCTTCTCACCTCGCCCAACCGCCCCACGCAGACAGGGCTGCTGCTGAGGCGGCTCCTTCCAGGAGTTCCAAGTCCCAGTCGGAACAGGCCACGGCATTCCTAAACCTATGCCTGGCACAAGGGGGCAACTCTGTTCGGAAAACCCACGAATAACTAAGACTGCTCTTTTGTTCCAGACAGACCGGGCCATTGGTAATACTTTATACTTGGTGTCATTCCAAGAGATTACCTTGCTACACTCCTGATGGTCCAAATGGCTCACCTCGGGCTGCTGGATTCCACGCCCACTTGCTACTGCCCAGGAAAAACCCGCTTCATTTTTTAATCCCACCACACTTTAAAGAAACGTTTTACCTTTTCTCCTCTTTCTCTCTCTCTGTCCTTTTCTTCTTTTTTCTTTTTTTTCTCACTGTGTCCGTCCGTGTGGAGGCTGGGAAGTGGTGGGGGAGGGGCAGCTGCTCCAGTGTAGGGGGTGCTGGGAGGAGGTCCAGGGGTCACTGCGACTTCTCCCGCCGCTGCAGCAGAAAGTCCTGAACTTCTCTTGGACTTGGAGTGACGCTTCTCTTTATGCTTCTCCTTGTCCTTCTTCTTTTTGCTCTTCTTTGATTTCTTTTTCTTCTTGATTTCCCGGTAAGAGTCATCGATCACTAACTCGCCAGCCTCTAGCTCCCCTCCCGAGGAGGAGTCCGATTCTACTAGGATAGGTTCAAGCCCCGAAAGATCCAGGTTAGCACTGTGGGGTTCTGGGAACTGGGAGGCGTCAGACCCGCAGCCTTCAGGGCCGGGAGACGAGCGTGGGTCCGAGGATGACTTGTGCTTCTTCCGGGCCGTTTTCAGGAAGCTCTGTAACTCGTGTCCTAGGAGTAAAGCACCTTGCTCATCCCGAGCCGATTTCTTGGAGGACTTTTTAGCAGAGGCTTGCTGGGAGGGGTACTGAAATGACTCCTCATCCACTGCGCTGCTTCCCTTCTCCTTTGGGGAGAGAATGAGCTTCATCTTCAGCCCGTCGGGCTCACGGAGGGTCAGGGTCTCGGTGTTCACACAGAGCGGCTTCATTTTCTTGGACCTGTGGGAGCCGCCGTCCTCCGCGGACAGCTCCCCGCTGCCGCCGCCGCTCCCTTTCTTCCTGTGGTGCTCCTTCCTGCTCTCCGAATGGCTCGAAGAACCAGAGGATTTCTCCCCTGTCTTTTTGGAGGGTTTGGACCCTGTTGCCAGTGGGGAAGTGATCGCTTTCAAGAGGTCCATAGCTGTATCAGCAGCCTGTGGGCTGGACTTTTTCTTTTTCTTCTGTGACGATTCCAAAGACGAAAGATCTAGAAATAATCAAGAGAAGTCGTGTCCATGTGACAAAGAAACTTCCAACAAGTTTCCTCTCTCGCCCCAAACGCCCAACTGACACGAGGAAGAAGCCAACAGGAATGATTTAAAGGGAGGCCCTTCCACTGCTTCCTAACGTGCAGAGATGATGCCCACGGGCTCCTTGGACTGGAGGATTCCGCCTCGGACCCCGGAGACAGTTCCGCCACTAAGGCTGTTTCTCTTCAGCGAGTCTTCACACGCAACCAGGGAGAGCGCACCCACAAGAACGGACCGCGGCTGTGGGGCTACGAGTGCAGCTGGCCCTTGGACAACACCGGTGTGAACTGCACAGGCCCACTCATACGCAGACTTTTTCTCTTGCTTATGATTTTCTTAAAAACGTTGTTTTTTCTCTACCTTTATTGTAAGAATAAAGCATATAATACATGTAACATATAAAATATGTGTTGACTGTTTATGTTAGAGGTAGGGCTTCCAGTCAATAACAGGCTATCAGGTAAGCTTTCGGGAGGTTAAAGTTACATGTGGAATTTCGACTGTGCAGGGCCAGTGCCCCAAACCCCCATGTTGCTTAAGGGTCAACAACTCAGATCACGCTGCAGACCGAGTACTGTCCGTTTCCATGTCCAGGACAAACCCATTCTAGTAAAGAGTTAGTCTCGTCAGCTGTGTACACAATAGAGCCAGGAAAAGCTGCTCTGTGAGCGGATGTGCACTGGACTGAGAATTAACCCGCAGGCGCGGGCCAGAGGGCCCAGGGCTACATATGGCACGAGGGATGCTCAGTAACAACGGGCACAAGATAAGTGGACGATCGGGGAGAGAAGGAACCTGGTACCTGGTGTATCACAAATGAAGACTGTTCTTCTATGCTGAATCCTCCAAAATACCAGCCCTCCACCTCTCTCCTCCTTCACACTGGTTTACCGGCACTCAGAACAAGAACCACTGTCCTGTTAAATAGGCCACTGAGTCAGCAACATCTGGATCCCTTTCCCCTACCCCGACTCCAAGAACCAGGGATGTGTTTACCCGCCCTGTGGCCCTCTCCCAGCCTCACCTCCATAGTAGTAATCATCGGAGGAGTGCTTCCTCTTCTTCTTGTGCGTGTCCGTCCCCAAGAAGTAGAGTTCGCTGTCCTGGAATCAAAGAGGAAGAAGAACTGACCAATGAATAAGATGATGAGGCAAAAGCAGCTTGGAACTAATCTTGTTTTTTGATGATTTCTGACTTTGGAAAACAAAGTAAAACAGAAAATAATAAAAATAGACACAAATGCTGTTTATTTTTCTTTTGAAAAGTTCTTATAGGAAACTTCTTTCTTCAAATATTAGGAAATATGATATATGATAGTTTAAAACTTTCCTAATTCAAATGTTTAGAATTTACCTTCAACTTCTTCTTGGAAGAATTCCTGACCTGAGCAGCGATTTCTTCCTCTTCCCTTAAAAAATCTTTGTAAGACCGTTTCTTTTCTCGTTGGCTTCGGCCGGCTGCTAGTCCTATGTCCTCAAAGCTGTGGTCACCATCAAAACAATCTGAGAGGCACCGGTTCATGTGGGAAAGGAAAGGAAAGAAGAGGCAAGTAAGAAACAACAAAATCACCACCTATGTAATGCAACAAGTCCCTCCATTTCCAAACTGAAACAATGTGTCAGTGAGTCCAATAGAATACAAGGCCAGATCCAAGGGGACAACACTTCTTGATGACTTCGCTGTAAATATAAGAATCAAACCTGAAGAAGCAATGCTTCTATGCTATGCAAATTCCCAGCGTGCATCCTCAGACATGGTTTCTTAGTTGTGATCTGGCAGGTAGGTGGACAGGCTTGCAGAGGTAAGGCTGGAAAGAATAAGGATTCACGGGCTGTGCTGCTCTGTGGGAGTCCAATACGTGACTCCTACCCCAGACTCCGGCACACTGGAGCTGGCAAGGACCACGAGTGCTGCAGGGAATCACCCCAATAGACCACCACATTTCAGACTCTTGTATTGGAACCCTGTCTTGGCTTTCGTTTCCATGGGCCCAGTCTGGGGATGACGTGGAGGCTTAATAGTGCTCTGGATCATCACTTGGGAGTCCAGGCTGCTATGGCCAGTCCTGGTCTCCATGTCCACGGGCTGCAAGGACTGAAGAGGACACCCCCTTCGAAATGCTTCTCAGGTTAAGGGGTCATACCTTCTTTCTTCACGGCGTCATCATAAGCCATGGCGGTCCTGCGGGGCCTTTGAGAATGTGTCTCTGTGTCCAGCGCCTTCCCGTCTACAGGACCAGGTCTGAGAAACAAAGAAGGAAAACCTTCCTGTAATGCGAAATCACTGCGGAGAAGCAACCTTCCCGATGGAAATGCGCGGCGATCCAAGGGCGGCCTGGAAGGGCAGCAGGAAATAAAGGAGTGTCTTGTCACCTCCTCATTCTGTAAATACACTGGGATTGAAACTGCAGGACGTGCACTCGGCTTAATTTGATTTGATTCATGAATTAAAGTTGATGTTTGGGGAAGTATATAAGATACCTCCCACATAAAAATTACTTCAAAATTAATGAGGATTTCTGGAATGCCAACAGGATTGACAACACCGAGACAGAGTAAAAGCCGACATTAAGTCAGAGGGATAGTTCAGTCATGGTTACAAAATGCAGATAAAGCAGGATGCAGAGCAAGACAGATTACATCACACACTGGAGACCACAAAATCCGATCATCTGGATTGATAGCAGCCTAAAATCCATTGTAGTGTCATGGAGACAGAAATGATAACATTACATGGATATTAGAGATCTTTGATCATTTTTTGGTGTGCATTTTGCTGGGCCATGTGATTTGTTTGCTGAAATCACAGAAATGCAACAGTGGATATGCTTCTTTTATCAGCTGGCCCTGCGACAGGTTTCAACACTATGGAGCCTTGTAAAGGCTGGGTGAAAATAAGGAAGAATTATCGTTTGTCCACGGGTGATGAAGTATTTACGATCATTAAGATTTTCACCGACTTGAAGAATTACTATAATATACATGTTTTACGTATTATCTTGAATTTGTTTAATATTATTTTTTTGGCATTCAAGTTTACATGTCCATTTTGACTTTGAGGATGACAAGCCATGATCTACACTCTAAGGTAAATTTTTTCATAAGGACAGGCAATGTCACAATTCCTGCAGGACAGTTAAAAATTATATACTAAATATATTCAGAAGTATGTTCTCATCCAGTTAGAGAATGCCTAAGAGTTGGTGTGACTGGTCATTCATTAAATTTCGTTTTACCTTCACTACTGTAACGGGGTTTGGAAATGCGGAAGGGCACTTCGAGGAGACACTGCGACCCCTTCAACAGGTACGGACAATACTGAAGCGTGTAACTTTTGTAAAAGATGAATTAACAAGGAAAACTTCCATAAGAGTCACATTTAGAATAAATGAGAGAACTGCACAAGTTAGATAAAATACAATGCACAGATATGCCTACTCTGAAAGTAGAAAGAAAAAAAGAAGTTTTACCCAGAATGAGTGATAAGCAAGATTAAGGAACATTAAAAAAAAGCATTTCTTTACTTCTCTAAGAAGAGGACTGAGGAATGGACTTGGTCAAGGTCAGAGAAGCTAGGGTGAAGAAAAGAAACAAATGAACTAAATTATTTTAAAGAGAAACTGAAAAACTGCTTGCTCAAAGGCCTTCTCCTAGGAAATGTCAGGTCTCATGTACAAATATAATGAGGAAAGACACACAATGTAGCCAGTGTTTCATATTTAGCATTAAGCATCAAGCTTTCTCAAATAGAAATTACATGTCTTCTCCTTTCTACCCAAATGGCACTAACTCCAAAGGGGTAAGTGGAGGGGGAATGTCATAGGAAATTATATCCATTCATTTGAAAATAGCATATCATCTTACTGGCACTAAAATACTGAGCTTATTAGAAAAATACATAGATGCCATTAGTTTCCATAGGCTGACAATGCCAACAGATACTGCAACTTGAGACCTCAAGTTCAATGTGTCCTGCCAAATGAATTTTGACAAAGAATGTTTGAGAGATGGGGAAAAAATTTAAATGTTCTACATCATGCCCTGGCTGGTGTGGCTCAGTGGATTGAGAACTAGCCTGCGAACCAAAAGGTTGCCAGTTCAATTCCCAGTCAGGGAACATGCCTGGCTGCAGGCCGGGTCCCCTGTTGGGGTGTGTGCAAGAGGTAGCCGATAGGTGATGTTTCTCTTCCTGTCTCCTTCCCTTCCCTTCTCTCTAAAAATAAACAAGATATTTTTAAATATCCTACATCATCAATATGGCCACCATCTGTAGTCAACAACGAAAGGCACTTCTAGATGAAGCAGAGGTGGGTCCTGAGACTTCCAACCAGGCCTTCCCTCTGGTAACACCAAAACTAGCACAAAGCAGAGTTGAGCAACGGTCAAAACAGGAGCAAGCACCTCTAAAGGCAGCGTGAGACAACAATGGCCACTTGCTGGACTATGAGAAGCGCTCATGGTCTCATGACTGACCACTCTGGAAAACAACAAGTGGATTTAAGAAGTCGTGAAAGGGAACAGAAAATCAGGAGCTGCTCCTCCAAGGCACGGGCCAATAGAGAAAGCATGCGCTGGTCTTTGCATTATCTAGTAGAATTAGGCCAGCTACTATTCAAATTTTCATGAAAAACACTGAGGAGCATTTTATGAATTACAGGATTAAATAACCTGTAAAAGAAAATGAACGAGGCCTGCAGGCAAGTCCAATTCACCAAAAAATCAGGACAGCTTAAAAAAACTAAAATTAAACACAATGGACTACCACATGTCACTCAGCCAGGGAACTGATGGACCCTGAATTTCTAGGTCCCTTAAAACCAGGACATTACTGCAACCTAGGGGTCAGTTTTGGTTGCTGACTCACAGAAGAAAGATGAAACCAGATAAAGAAGTCTCAGGCAACAGTATGGAAGAAAGGCAGAGTTAGGGCAACATATATAAGATCAGATGACTCACGATACTCCTTCTGGGTCTTGCATATTATCCATGATAACAAATTCAGAGTTCAGGGTTAGGTAGCAGATCGTGAGGATTAATGAAAATGAAAAAATATCAGGTTTGATTTTCACAGTAGAAAAGAGAGGCTACAATGACATTGAGTGTTGGCAAATGTGAAACAGGTGTGAAAACCCATTCTCCTGAATTCCACAATTTTGAAGTTCATAGAATTAAATGTCCTTGACTTCAAGAGGCAGGCATGATTTTACAATTTTGTTCCTCAGTGTGCTATGAAATGACAACGTAAGTAAAGGTTTGTTATTTAATATTGTTTATAGAAGAAAGAAACCCATCATCATAAAAAACGTGCACTTATAAAATGTGCAAATCATCAAATGGCTCTTGAGGGACTTTTCTTCAGGATATAAAAAAGGAGAGGCAGAGCCACTCTTTTTCTTGTAGATAAGTATTTCCATCATGTTCAGGTATAGCTTTCTGGATTAGCAGAGTAATTAGGGGAAAACCGAAATCCTCAGTAGTACTTGGCTATTTTGAAAGTTCAAATTATAAATACCGGGGGGAAAAAAGTTTCAGAAGGTGATTTTTTTTGGAGGTAATCTGAGCCACCTCGGAAATCACGTCCATCGGGCCTCTTCATCCCAGAATTTAAATGAGCCTTGAAGCAGGAAACGAGTGAAACCCCTGAAACCAGGCAGTAAGCGGAATCCTGAAGTCCAGGTGCAGTGCAGGACGAGAGCCGTGTTGAAGACTCTGGTTCTTATCTTCCAGAAGTCCTTTCAGGAACTCAAGCTGCCAGTCAGCGCAGGAAAAGGAGGATGCACCTTCAGCTGTTGCCAGTTTCTGACTTCTGTTGTTACCTCTAGGGTATGTATGGGCAGTTGATGTCTTCTCTCTCTCTCTCTCTCTCTCTTTTTGGTCGAGGTTTCCTCCAATCTCGGAACAGAGCGACTCCGAATTCTTGCCATTCCCTTCCCCGAGAACCTACCTAATGCAGCACTCACAGCCCCTGCCAGCTCTGGGAACTGCAGAGATGCCCGCGGCCCGGCCCAGGGTGAGGACGGGATCATCCCATCGCAGTGCCATTAAACCGAACCCACGACCAGCGCACCGAGCGGCTAACGCACGTTCCCCAAACATCAGCAGTACAAATTTTATCAAGCCTCCTCCAATCAACAGGCTTTACTCTGGATTCAGTTTTGTGTGTTTTGTTTTTTTTTTTAATTTATTCTGCTATGAGGAAACAAAACCGGCCACCAGCTTAACCCTCAGAAAGAAGCGAGTTAGACATTCCTCCTCTTCTGCGTGACATCAAATAAAGTGAATCTACAAGTAATAGCCGTGGGGGGTCACGGGCCCCTCTGGAGAAGATCCCACCGCGCAGGCACGTTCCTACTGGGTCGCACGCGAAGAGCACACGCAACATCAGTTCTTTACACCAACAGCCCCCAGGACCACCACTTTCGTGGTCCCCACGGCACACCAATGGGGCACCCCCGACAGTTTTGCAGCAACAGCTAGTTCAACAAAGCTCTGGGAAGAGGCAAAGAAAGCTCCTTGCATCCACTCCTTTCAGCTGAGGACCCAGACCTCCCGTCGCCCTGCTTCCAGGGCCCTTTCGCCTTGACAGCCCCGGGGACCCCACATCCCGGGTTCCCCAGCCGCACCGCAGCCCCGACCCTGGTTCCCGCGTCCCCGGCGGCCTCCCGGCGCCCCGGAGGGCGGAGACGGCCCGGGCAGGGGGAGGGGCGGCCCCAGCCCGCAGGCCCCCGGGGCGGCCGCACGCCCCCTCCCGGCCCCGCAGCTTTCCCGCCTTCCCCGTTTGAACAGCTCCCGCCAGTCTTCCTCCTTCGGCCCGCTCCAGCCCCTTCCCGGGGGCGGACTGCGGCCGCTACTCCAGTCCCCGGCTCGGCCCCTGGGCTAGGCCGCGACGGGCCTGGGGCGCCCCCCGGGCGGTGTCGCGGGCCCCAGGAGGGTGGTGGCGGCGGGGCGGAGCCGCTGCCGCCTTGGAGTGGGGGCCCAGCCCGGTCTCGTGGGGGCTCCGCTCGCCGCTACCTTCACTCGGATGGCCCGGATCCCGCCTCCGCGCAGCCGACCGCCGCCATCTTGGAGAAGGAGAGAAAAGCGCGAGCGGCCAGGGAGCCTCAGTCGAGCCCAGAGCGCAGACTCCGGCTTGTGAAGGGGAATCCCGCAGGTGAAAGAGCGCCGAGCGCATCGAATGAACTGCGGAGCTTGCAAAATTTGACGACTAGTATTTATTGAGAATTCGCGCTAATCCTCACCACATCCTGCTGATGTAGGTTTTGTTGCAGTTTGCAGATGAGAAACAGGCTCCGAGAAGTTAGATGACTTGCCTAATGATACACGGGTAGTTGGAGTGCGAGGCAGGATACTACTCCAAGCCTTCCGATTCTCTTTGCTTCAAGATATTTTAATAAAGTAATTTTCCTCTTTGCAAAGCCTAGATCCATGCACATCAATTGCAATGGTGCCTGTTTGGAATTGAGCATCTACATTTGGGTGTTTGGCATATTTGGGATGGGGTGGAAGAACGTGTCTTTATAATAGCGCACTGGAAAATAATTTGCATGGCAAATCATCTGCATTTCTCTCGTAGGTTACCTGCATTTAAAAGTTAGAAACAGTTTTCAGAGAAATGAAGAGATGTCAAACACAGGAGAGAGATAGGTTTTTCTGACTTCCTCTGGAGAATTTGGGCCAATGGGTAGAAATTACAGTGTGCATCTCTTGGTTCAAACTGAAGATAAATTTATTTTCATAGAGCAGTTCAATTGTATCTGGCTACTCTGCCAGGTAGTGAGTTCTCTGTCACCAGAGGAATCCAAGTCAGGAATGTCCTAGTTACAGCTGAGCAGAGAGATTAGAAATATCGATTGGCTTCTAAAGTTGTGAATTCCATGAAACTCTATGTAAAATTATGTGTTTATGCACATGGGTATTTTTCTGGGTTCCAGTCCCATCAAAAATCAGGAACCCTTGCCCTAGTGAGTTTGCCATTCCAGAATTGGCCAGGTGCCTGAAAGTGATGTAGTTGTATGGTTCATGTTACATACTTAGAAATTGAGACCAAGACAAGCAAGATGATTGGTCTCAGACCACACTGCTAATTAGTGATCAGATAAGGATTAGAAAGAAGCCAGATTATTGGACTCTTGGTTCAATGCTCGCTTCACCATATATCATGGTCTCTCTCCCTCTGCACTGAGTAGAGTATCAGATTCTGTTTAACCACTGCTTTTACAACTGTGAGATGCTGAGATGTTAAAACACCTGAGACAAGGTTGTTGAACTGATTCCCAAAATATAAATGCAAATAATAAATAAAACTAGCATCATTGCCTCCTTTTTCTCAGCTCCCGTCCTCCTCACTAAAAAGGCAGGCGATGAGTTTCAACAGAAGGTATGGGGTTGCACTTCTGGTACACCTTGCCTGATATTAGGCTTCCCTGTGAGGTTTTAAAGAGTGCTAAGAGTGTATTTCCTGCCCGGACTGGTATGACTCAGTTGGTTGGGTGTCAACCCACAAAGCAAAAGGTCACCGGTTTGATTCCTGGTCAGGGCTTGGGGTTCAGTCCCTGGTAGGGCTGCATGTGAGAAGCAACTAGCTGGAGTTTCTCTCCCTCTCTTTCTCTCTCCCTTCCCCTCTCTCTAAAAATAAATGAGTATAAAATAATTTTTAAAAAAGAATGTGTTTCCCTCTTGTTCTTAAGTATTGCTCAGGGTGTTTTCAGTTTGAAGTGACAGAAACCTAACTGAAAGTAGTTCTCTAGAAAAGGAGTTGTATTGGTTGACATTACTGAAATGTCCAGTACTTTCAGGTGTGGCTGGATCCCAGGGAGGGACTCAGGTCCCTTGACATCTTTCTTCTGAGTTGGCTTTATTCTCAGGTTCCAGGTGCTGACTCTAACAGCTTCAGGCTTCACTACTAGCAGTGTCCCTGGAGAGAAAGTGTCTTTTTCCTGTTTGTTTTGGCGGATGCCACAGTATTACTCCTCTTGCCAAATTGGATCCTGTGTACAGACAGAAAGCAGTCAATATGAGCAAAAGTGTCAGATATGTGATTGGCCAGAACAGGCCACATGCTCAGCCCCCAAAGGAGGGTGGACTCAAGAAAAGTCAGGGATTATTGTGAGGAGGGTGAATGGGTGCCAGGTAAGCAAAAAAAACCAATAGCTGTCCATCCAACTGTATCACTAGCTCAGGAGGCTTGAATGTGAAAGCCTCCTGAGTCCCATTTGTCCCAGTCTTCCTTCTGTCCCACCTGAGGGTGGATCTGTCCAGTTATTGCTCATCTTAACCTCCTATAGACCTGAAGGAAGAGCACTCTTTAAAAAAAAAAGAATTTATTTATTTACTTTTAGAGAGAGGGGAAGGGAGAGAGAAAGAGAGGAAGGGAAGCATCAATGTGTGAGGGATACATCAATTGGTTGCCTCTCACACGACCCCCAACTGAACACCTGGCCTGCAACTCAGGCACGTGCCCTGACTGGGAATCGAACCAGCAACCTTTCAGTGTGCCGGCTGGCACTCAATCCACTGAGCCACACCAGCCAGGGTGGCAGATCACTCTTTATCCTGCTTTTTCTAATAACTTGCTCTTGGTCTTGTATCACTGCATGTGCATTCATCCATTCATTTAAGAAATAGTTACTGAACATACAGCATACATTAGGCACTGGCCTAGGTGGGGAGAAGAATAGGACTGTGAACAAAACTGAGCATCTTTGATGCTCTGGAGCTTATGTTCTAGTTGGGTTGGGGGGCAGAAAATAAATAGGTACCATGTGAGGTGATGATCCGAGGTGAAGAGAAATGCCTGGAGGTGGGAAGGGCTGTTCTTTAAAACCAGGGGAGGCTTCTCTGATGAAAAGTGTGCTGGGAGCCAGCTCAGCCAGGAGTGGGTGGGTGGAGGGGGCCAGAGGTCATAGCTCCTGGGATGGATGCGAGGTCTTCCTCTCAGCCTCAGTGGAAAAACATTCTCTGTTGAATAGCCTGTCACAGTTGTTTTGTTTCTGAGACTGGGGAGGAGGGAAAGGAGGATTCTCATGGGAGCCTGAGATGCAGAAGGACGTGGTCACAGTGGGTTTTGTGAGTAGGATGCCTTGTCCCACGGCGAGTGAGGATGGCACCTGAGATCCATGGAGACTGGGTGCTCCCTGGGCTGGGGTTGTCCTCTGGTCCGCCCGACCCAAGTGACACTGCCCAGTGCATGGCAGTAGCAGGGGATGGCCCACCCCGTCATGCTTAATTTGGACATTTTCTTCTTCTGACCATTTTTTTCATGTTTTGCCCTTGTCAGCTGTGTTTTGAACAGCTTCATTCTGCTAGACCTGGTGAGTGCTATTGCAGGGATGGACATTAATACAATAGTCAGGGACCTTTTGACTGGGAATGATGGGACCTAATTAAAACGACCTTATTAAGAGAGAGACAAGAACAAATCTATGGCTCATGTGAAAAAGGACTAACAGCCAAAGAGAAGCTGGCCCTCTAGACAACTGCGTCCAGGTATTCAAATTCCTTCCTCTTAGCTCCATTCTCTCAGACTGGCTGTCCCCATGGGCCTGGGATCATGGCCCAGGGAGCCCAGGCTTGCATCCTCACAGTGTCCTGGCCAGAGACCCCTACCAGCCTCAGTGGGGGAAAAAATCCCAGGGAAGAACTCTGATTGGCTGGCTTGGGGTCATGTGATCAGCCTGTACAGTGCTGCACTGGTTGTGGCAGAACTGTAAAGCTGGAATGAGACAGGAGCAGTAGTTCCACAGAAGAATGGAGGGCTCTATTCTGGAAAGACAAACATATGTCCTCCATAGTGAGGCAGTGACATGCTGTTCCTGGTCCTGAGGAGCCTGCTATTGTGTGTATGTGTTGCAGGAAATGCAAACAAGTCCATCAAAACCATGATGCAAATTGAAAAGAAAGGCGTCCCACAATAGATGACCTCCTCCCTCACTGGGGTAGTACAATAGTTTTCCAGCAGAGTCCACTTCCAAGGCCATCTCCCCGCAGCTATCAGAGTATAAAGCACAGCTAAGACGAGGTCATGTTCCAGCTAATGAGGTTTTTAACAGCTCCAGGTTGCCTCTACCTCGAAGAGCAGACCTTCTCCTGTGGAAAGCCAGGAGCTCTCTTACTCTGCCTCAAATTCCTCACCAGCCTTGGTCCCTCACATCCCTTGTCACAGGGACCTTCTCACCACCCCCGAGGCTTGCGGTGCCCCATCCTGCACCCGTGCCACTGTGCACGCATTTCCTTGTCAGTAGTGGTCCCCCACGTCCCAATACTGCTGCTGCCTCTGCACCCAGAAAGCTCCGATTTATTCTTCAAGATGTAGCTCAGATGCCCTCTCTCCCAGTCATCCTCCGGCGTGGCCACACACTTGATAATATGCTTCCATGACTGACTTCCCATGAGGCATTGCAACCATCCTTGTACATACCTCGTTTCCCTGTTCTTCAAGGACGGACGCTATCTAGGTTGCCGTTGTCCCTCTAGGCACATGGTAGGTATTCAATGACTCCTTTTGATTAGAGGTTGTTGAGTGAAGACTGGGGCCGACCATTTTCCTCGGGCCTCGGGAGGCAGAGACGAAAACTGCATGGGAGCATTGTAGGCGGTGTGTGGGTTTGGTTTGCTCGGCCTGCCTCATGTCCTCTGTGCCGACACCACTGCCCAGACACAGGAGCAGGCACAGAACTCCAGCCTCGGGGCTGTTTGTCAACTTCAGGTGGAGGCAGGGGGTGCTTTGTGTCTCTCATCCAAGCTGTGCAAATATGAACGTGGGGCTGCCCACAGCCATGCCTCCCGCCGTGGGGAGGACCACCTCTGAGAAGATGGGGAAGACACTGAGAGGGGCCCGAAGATGCTCAGTGCCCGGACCCAGCCACCCCCTGCCCCTTTCGTGCATTATCACGTGAGCCGAGCGTCTCTCCTTCTCCTTCCGGGGCATCTGGCCGGCTGCTCCTCTGCTGTTTGGACCCCAGAGGGGCTCCCTGCTCCCCAGGCTTCAGGACAGAGGAAGCCTTTGAACCGGTCCCTGCCCGTGGGGTGGGGTGCAGTGGGACCAGCGGGGAGGGCATTTCTGGGGGGAGAAACCAGATGGGAGGAGGCAA